ACGGGCACAGGCTGTGCACAGGAGGACTGTCTCAGCCAGAGATGTGCCAAGGGACACCCATGCTGGGTTGGATACCTACCCCATGGCTGAAGGGAGCTCTGTCCTGGAGTATACGGTTACCTCGCTGTTTCCCATCTCTCCAAATCTGGCCCTAATCTCTCAATCTCCCTTTCCTCATTTTTTTTTTCTCATGCACGGCTCCTGGCTTTTCCCCTTAGCGTGCTACATGCTGGCATCCTACCAAGGTCTATTATAGCATGGGGCATTTGGAGAGGAGGCTCTGGGTAAATGGGATTTACCCATTTCTTCTGCATTCAATCAGCCTCAGCTCTGCTGGGGCAGCATAAAGGGCAGTGGAGGGCGTGTGCGTGTGTGTGCCTATCTGTGCGTTTTTCTTTTTAAAGGAGAATATCAGTCTAAAGCAAACCCTGCCTGCCTGAGCTCCACATCCTCTCCGCCCACCTCTAATAATTTCTCTTTCCATGAGTGAGCTGAATGCTTTCAAAGAAACATCATAGGCTCATCCTACTGCCTCGGAGAGACTTGCTCCCAAGCACCATTGCTTTCTGCTGCTTGCAAGCAGGATTTACCCATTGCCTCCATTGTTTCATGTCTGGGAGGCCTCGGAGCAAGCAGCACTGCTCTGGACACACATTCACCGCCACCCGCTCTGCGTAAAAGCGCTGCAGAGCTGACCGACAGAGGCAGGATGCATTCCAGCTGCTGTAACTGTAGCTGTGCAGATGCCTGTTTATTATGGTTTAAAAAATGTATTTGGATTATAGGTACTATGATTAAAAATTAAAGAAAGAAAAAAGTAAGCAGACTGGATTCAAACACAAAATGTAGACTCAGATAGGAATGCTGGAAATGGGGAATCTTAACAGTAAAATGATGATGGATAAAGAACAAAGCAACTAGAAGAGAGAACAAGAATACAGGGAAAACAGCAAGCAGAAACAAGAAGAGAGCTGAGACAGGGAAGAATAAGAAAGAGTGAAAAAAGCTAGAAGTGGAAATAAGCAATCAAAAGAAGTAACAATTGAAAGAGAGAGCCAACAAAAGAAAACGCATGGAGAATAAAGGAACTGAAGAGGGCAGAGATGGAGCAAATTCATGCTGAGAACAAAGAGAGGAACATAGGGCAGGCCCAGCCACAAAAACTAAACAAGACAGCACAAAAGACAAAGGGGAAGCAGAACAAAAATAGTACCAAAGGAGAAAGCAAGAAGGGAATGAAGGTACTGGTGAGATGACACTAGAGTCTAGGCAAAATGCAGAGTTCAAAGAACAGAGCCCAAAGCCAGTCAGCTCTTGGTGGAGGCAGAGCAGGGCTGTGCATGGCAGCTGAGCCTCCACGGACCTGCCTTCATGGGGCCCATCTCTGCCTCTGCCTGCTTAACAGGGAGGGCAAAGCCAGGGCAGATGCCTGCTGCTTTAATTGCCTCCCTCCTCTCCAGGCAACTCTTGCAGACAAGGAAGGGGCCCCTAAGAAGGATGGGCAAAGTGATCAGACCATCGGAAAAGCAATAGGGATAGAGGGACAAACCAAGGCAGGGCTTGAGCTAGAGGAGTGGGTCCCACATCATGGAGGAAGGGGTCCCTGAACACAGCCAGCTTGGAAGATCACTCAGGAGGAGCTTGGTCCCCAGTGTACTCTGTGGCCTGGCCTTGGGCCAGTAGTCCACAGTAATACATCATGGGTTGAGTCCTTGGGGAAGACATCCCAGTCCACCAGGAAGCTCAGATGAACTGGGACAGGAAGGATCACCAGGGAGAGACCCTCACCCAGAGGCCACCTCACGTAAACCACCTCTTCGCCATCTCAAGCCAGCCCCTCTCGCTCTCTAACCCCGTTCAATCCCTTGCTTCCTCCCCACCAGTCCTTCCCACCCCAGGGCAAATGTTGCCCATGCTTCTGGGAGGCCTGAGGTCAGCTCTGCACAAAGAAACCCCTCCAAAGATATAATGGCTCTTTGGATGCTCTAAGTCCCTGCAGAACCACTAACAGCAATAGGGCAATGCTCCTTTACACCAAAAATCTTTCACGTTCACAGAAATAGGATTTTTCTTATCTGTATAGCCCCAGCTCTGCTTTAAGTGACTGAAAGTAAACTTTTCCCCTACCTTCTTCACAGCTGAAGCTTCTCACTGCCCTAAATTTAGAAGCACTTTGCCTCAGCTCATGCCATGGACTCATGCCTGCCATTTACCATGTCTTTTGTGTCTTTCATTCAAAAAAAAAAAAAAAATCACCATCTCTGCAGACTTGGGAAGCTCCAGCACATGCCACTAGCCCACACTGAAGGACTACTCAGTCCGCCACGCAGGGTGCAAAATATTGCTCTACAGGGCAATTTGGGCACCTTTGTTCAGTCAGTCTGTAGTTGCCTCTAACGGCAGCTGGGTTGAGTCAGGACTGTGGTGATATAGGAACACGGCTGGGCCAATGTTCCCAGGATTAGGATTCCCAGCACATTGTCAGGGCTCAGGAGCGCTGCAGGAAATAACCCTGCCTCCTCAGATGATGCTCGGAAGGTTTAAAGGATCCTCATGGTAGCTGTTCTGCTCTCAAAATGCCAGAAGTTGTTACCCGTTTACTGCTGGGTGCCAATTTTAAATCTCTGCACAGCAAATCACCTTGTCCCCACTCTACTGTTATTTTCCTCACGGCTGTGATTTCTGAAGAGCACTATAAGAAATTAGTTCCTGAACGGGTTCTTGCCTAACTATGAAATAGTTGCCTATAACAATAAAACCTAGAATTACAATAGCCAAGACAGACATTTTGAGAGCTATTACCCATCACGTCTCAGAGCCACCAGATGGGAATAAAGTAAGAAATTCCTCCTCTGGAAAGTTCTCCAGGTTATATAATCGTTCTTCCTGGTATTTTGCCTTCTCTCAGAGGAAGAACACTCGACACAGAGGACCAGGATATCTGCTCTAGGTAGCAATTCTGGTATGCCTTCTACATTTATTTAGAAGAGAAACTGGAGCTAATGTCTAGGTTATTAGTTTACTGACAAACAGCACAACCTTGTGCTGAGAACAACCACTGTCCAGCTATCTCAGCTTGGAGGGTGACCCAAAGCACTCGGGCCAGATTCTCAGCTGGGATTCATGACAGGCAGGTAATCTGAGCTAGCAGTCCTTTAAATAGGAACTGACCTCTTTTTTCTGCTATAAATACTGCCTCAGCCCATAGGTGAGACTTCCTTGGGTTGAGGAGACACAGAAGCATGGATGATACCAGCTGCTTCCTCTAGCTGAGACAACGACATTTATTGCAAATATCTCTGGGGGATGCGGCATTTAAACCACCTGCTCTTGACAAGATATCCTGGATAAATGGAGATTGCAGAGCTGGGATTTCAAGCTCGTCAATTCTGCTATACTGTTTTATTTGAATCTATTATTAGAAGGATGCAGTCATTTTGTTTCTAAACAAAACACATATGCTCTTCCATCTGAGATCCTGGTCCCACCAACACTGACACAGCTGCAAACCTGACTGACCCAAACAGCTTCCCTGGCTGCAGCGTGTCATGTGGCTCCTGCCCATAAGAAGGTTTAAAGAGATTAATAATTTGGTTTTTTACATATAAGCACACTGATTTCAGAAACTACCTCCTCCAAAAACACAAGGTCATCCTCAGCTACCAGACTCTGACCTTTCAACACCTCACCTTTCTGTCACTAGGCTGATGGGGCTGGAAGCTTTATGTCCCTAAATGCTACAAAATTTTTTTCTGGTGCTTAGAGGACCATCTACAAAACACTTTGGTTCAACAGCGACAGGGAAGGACCCTTATACTTTATCCAGATGTCCTTGGAAATCCAGCTGAGATTCCTAATGGTCACATATGCTTTCTCCCCTCCCTGAACCAATGCAAGACGGCTTCTCATCTGCAAAGGCTAGCTGCAGAGATTTCAAAACGCCTAATTTCACATTGCATAGTGGAGCGCTTCACTCTACATCCATTAGCTGTGGATGAGTGCCTAAATTGCTTAGTGGTCAAGCAGAGAGGCTTTTCTATTGGGGGACCATGAGTTAAACCTTTGACTTTGAAATGAAAGCAGTTTAACTTCATTTGAGGGCTTGGAGTGAACTTTCTGAAAGTTTGGCTATTTGCCCAGGGCGGCAGCAAAAATCTCACTAAGGGGATCGAAAGAATAACTAAAGAATAAGAGCTCATTGTTGACTTCAATCTTCCATAAAGCACATCATTGGATTGTACAGTTCTCTCTAAAACCTGGACCTTTCCCCTTAGAAAGTCTTGAGCTTATAAAATGCATGCAACAATGAGAAAACAGGTCTTCTTTCATCAATCTCAAAAGGGAACCATGGGTGCAAATGGGACATTCAGCGATGGAGCCTTATTTACTATGCTCTACAGAAACAGCCCCAAGCGTAGGTTCAAGGCTGCATTTACCTGGACTCATGTTAACAGCCTGCAGCGTCCTCAGCTCAGAGTAACACTGCTGCTGCTCCTAAAAGGAAAACTGCAAAGGTGCCCTTGATGGTGGGGTGCACACGCACACATGCTACCCTACTCCATGGGCATATCTGTGCATCTCCCCATAGTAACTTACCTTTGCTGTCCTTATAGGAACATCACATCACTGGCCAACTTGTGTCTATGAAAAGATGAGACGAGGTCTAAAGGTCGCACCAGGCTTCAAGTTACTGTTAGGAACATCCAGCCTGGGTACAATAATTCATTTGCAAGCAATGCTTTTTACCATGTAATGTCTCTTTTCAGCTTCTTGAATGTAATTGCATTATCTTGGTGAGTGACAGCCCGCATGGATGGATGAAATTGGAGGTTAATCTGCATCGGCCATCTCTCTTGATTTCTCCTTCATTTCCATTTCTTTTTAAAATGGAAGTTCCATTGAAACAGCAACACTTTTCTATTAAATAAGTAACAAGAGAAGAATGACTGCCTCTATCTCATCAGCAGTAAATCTTCTTAAAATCACTCAAGAGGCAAGACTCAAATCATATATTTAATAAGAACCACTTTGATACCACTTTTTAAAGCAATTAACATATTTTTAGAGATAAGCGCAAGATGCAACATTTAGATCCAGATTCCTAAGAGAGATTTCTAAGGCTTAGGAGGGTACGGCTCTCAAGTCTTGGCCTCAGCAATCATCTCTGCATGCCACAGTCTAATGTAAGAACAGAACTTCAGTTACATGGACACGGCAGATAAAATTCTGGCTTTTAATCCTGATTTCATTAGCACTGCTTCTCTTCAGTCATTTTAAAGCCTTCTATGTATGCCAGCGAGAATGGACAAACCACCTCAAAAGAGTTTCTGCACCACCTGAGGGTCCTGGAACAAAACTGTTCATTTCCATTGTCCCCTTCCACTTAGGTGCTCAGACTTTTACTTTCTTCAAGGATTGTGAACGCCTCTCTGAACCTTACACATTTTTTAAAGACTTAAAGAGCCCGTCACCAATAGGATTCCTGTCACCAGCTCATATGTGTCTCCCCCGCCACCTGCAGGCAAGCTCACAAATGCAAGTAAAACGTCACCTCCGACAGGCAACACTGATCCCATGGAGCATGTGAAGATGCTCTCTGGCAAGGCAGTCCACCCCAACTTCTGCCAGCGGCTATGGATGCCATAGCAGAGCCATGTGGCCCTTCCTAAGTGACTTCAGCTGACAATCCAGCGTGTTAAATAGAGCAAATCCCTCTTTCCGGGTGGCTGAAGTGTGTACCGTGAATTACGGTAGTGGAGGTGCAGCTGCACATTCATCTCTGCTGACTGTGATGGGACAGAAACCTCCAGCAGATGAACCAGATGGAAGGCTGGGGGCAGTAACACCTTACACCATCACAATTAAATCTGACAAAACCCATCTGTTGGAGCCCTGAGCACTGGCAGGAGTAGCGCTCAACTTGGAATCTTAAATTATATCTAAGGCAGCATCCAAGGGCTTCTTGGTTGTTTATCCTAAAACGTTTGGGCTTTTTTTTCCCAGCACTAAACAGTATGTGACTCCACTGATGATTGACAGCAAATTCATTACTCAACTACAGGGCATTTTACTATTTGGACCATTAACTGTTAAGTCACAAATCCCCTACATCTTCCTGGAGCCCACTTCATCAGTAAATTGCTTTTCTTAAAAGGCAGCAACATATGCAAGGGGAAATACATCATGCATCTAAAGACATTGTGATCATGTTGGTTTTTTTAAGTGCTAAAATTTATTACACAAGAGATGATGCAACAGCGAGTAAGAGAGCAAAACTCTACATTGACTCCCTACTTTGCAATTCAGGACAACTAAGAAGTTTTACTTCATTAAGAAAGGCAAGAGAAAAAAAATCTGAGACCACCCCAATGGATGAGGAAGTCTTGTCAAGCATAAGTGAACAATCAGTCCTATGTGATGCTCATGGCCGTAGAAGGAACAATGAAATAAATCTGCTTCTGTTCAATAAATTACTAAAACATCAGTTATAAATCTGCTGCATGGCACTGAAAATTAAACTCATTTAACATCAAGGTAGCTTCATCCTGATGCAAATGGAAGACAGGCATGAGTGCTCTGCAGCAAACAACTCTGTGCACATCCCGTCTTTGGGAAACATATTTACACATACATCTCATATATTAACATATTTTAGTGAACCCTAGCCAGAGGGCAACCAGAAAAAGTATTATTCCATGAGAAGGACAGGAGATGGGCTAGCTTCTCCTCTCCAGAGAACAAAGCCTGCTGTGGACTAGTCTAGCATCCATGTAAAACACCGACTTGCATGACCACGTTTCCCTTTCTCAGTCAGCCAGATACCAGGACCCCAAACCAACAGTCTCCCATGATGGCTGGGGAGGTTTGGTAGCCAAGATTCTCGTGGGCCGGAAAAAGCAAGTGAGACTGTCACCACTGTGGTGATGTATTATTAAGCCTCAAGGGACTGCAAGATCAAGAATTTCTGCCACGCTGCTATTTATTGGTCTCTTTACCTCTCTCTCCCTTCCCTTACTTCTCCATCACTCAGGAAAGACTGCGGAAACACACACTGCTTTGAGTGGGCCTTGACCACAGCCATACACTGACCAGGCAAGATAGGTGTGCTCAGGCCTCAGCAGGAGAATTACATCACTACAAAGGCAAGGAGACTATTTATTATTTTCTTCTTTCAGAGCAAGGATTCTTTGAAAACAAATCCTATAGCCTCCATGGGAGGGAAGCCTGAGCAGGACTTTCTCTCGTGTTACCTCTCCTCAGCATGTTCCACACACTAACAAATCCATCCTCACTTTCAGAAGAAAAGAGCAACAAAAGCACAAAGGTAGGTCACCAAAGGGCCATTCCTAGGCCAGCTGCTCAGCTGGGAGAGCAAGGCAGATCTGCAGCTCACCATGCTCCCAGATGGGCAACATCTTGCTGTCCAACTGCCGGGTCACCAGTGGGGCAGGAAGCATCGTGCTAGCCCTCCTCAGCAGGAGTGTGGCGGATCGATTCCAAAATGGGCAGTCAACCACAGCCTGAGCCAGAGGGCAGCAGCCTGTGGGAAAACATCCACGGTTTTTTCCAAGGGGAACCTGTTCAGGACAATCCATGCAGGAGAGGGAAACATGCTGTTGGGACTGGCTTGGCCAAAAGCAGCACATGTGTTAGGGAAGGGACAATACAAGATCAGTATTTTTATTCTGTATGATTTTGTGTAATGATGTCTGTGACCGAGGGTGGGAAAGTCCCATGGGAGCTACAGGGGGTTCTCTGAGAGCCTTGCTTTGAAGCAGGCCTCTTCAAGAGTCAAGAAAGGGGCTGGTGGAAGCAGTGGTGGGAGAGGGAAAAGAGAGAAGACCTAGTAGAACACCAAGTCATTTGAATGCAACTCATTTGGGGCTTGGCGATCCTTTCCTTGCACAAACACACAAGTGTTCTCACTTTTGCCAGGCAGGTATATCCAAGGTTTGTTACCCTGACCACCGTGTAAACCTACCTGGCCCTTTATAAGAACGCAAAATTATCTGGGAACGCAACAATTCCTTGTCAGTGAAACAATCACAAGACTGCATGAGCTTATTACAGTCATTCCAGCAGAAATAACTGATACCTTTTAGAGTGCTTGCTAGAAGAAAATAGCAGTTCTGACCCAATTTCACTCAGTCGGAATCAGCTGTGGGAGACTAATATACAATAAAATAAAAAGACACAAATGCCCATTTTCCCCATGTCCTCTCCTAATAACATGAATAAAGCTCTGTTTTGATACTTCTTCCTTTCCAAAGGAGTCCAGTCTCATCAGTCCAAGTCTGCTGTGTTTCAACTGAAACTCTTTTGACTCTTCCTCCCTTTACTTGATGAAATTTTTAATCGTCCACCTTTGTCCTGTGCAGCTGCGAAGAATCAGGTCAATGCCGGCCATTCCTCTGTTCTCCACTTCCAAGCAGCGTCCTGTTCCCTTGTTCAAGATGGCACCGTTCTAAAATTAAAGACATGGGTGGATATGTTGGTGAAGAAAGCCAGGACTAAACACTGCCCCAGACAGAAACTATGTCCTTGTGCTTTGCTAGAAAGCACACAGCACTTACTTGAGCAGTAAAGCAATTGAAACCATACAATAATTTCTAAAATAATCAACGGGCATTGAATAGAGGAACCTTCAACATGATAATACAAATCTCTAACATTTCTTTAGTCTGTGTATTGTTCACCGTATGCTTTGGGACAAAGGTACTGTGTTTTCACGTACCTAACCTTAGGTTATCTGTAAGAAACAAACCTGAAAGTCAACGACAGTGCAGACTGTATCCCTCTGAGGGTAACGAAAAGGGAAACTTATCCTGGAACCTCTCCTACAATACTGCCCCTGCCTCCAATTGCTCTTAACCTTTTCCCTTTGCTGTAAGAGGCCCTGGCACCTGGTACTGCGTTGGACCATTTTGTTTTTTGCCCTCCTCCCCGGCGATGAACAGCTCCCGCACCAAAGACTGTGTGACACAGGCCATGGGCAGGCAAGGGGAGAAGAAGCATCTGACGGTGGACCCATAACAAACCTGTATGAAATTCCAGCGCTTATGGAGGCTGCTCTTGACCTTTTCACAATCAAGGAGCTGAGGGAAACGACTTTTCATGTTATCCACCAGACAGCGAGTATCGGGTAGAAGAGTCGTGGTCCCGAGGGCACCGAGATGAAGGAACCCCTCCTTGGTGTAGCGTGCAAGCTGCGGGGCAGGGAAGAAGAAGAAGAACACTATCAGTAGCTTTGGGTGTCGTTAAAAACCCACACTGGAAATAACAACTATGTAGAACCCCGGAAAAAACCTGTGAGGATGGTACATAGCGCAAATAGAACTGACAAGAGGGGGAAAAAACTTTCTCTAGCCTTCTTTCCCTGTCGTTTTGTTTTTTGCAGACGCAGACGTAGATGAGGAGTTGGGGCACAGGGAAAGGAAGAGATTAACTCTGAGCCTTAACTCCATCACAGGGCCGATGCCTCCAGCCTCCTTGGAGCCTAAATGCTCTGTGGGTTGGGGTGATTGATGATTTCCCCCAGGTTTTAGGCTGGAGCCAGCTTGCTAGGTCAGGCATGCTGGCCCATTCTGTTGCCCCTCCTGCGCTTGGCGAGCCATTCCCACTTTGGCCTGTAAATGATGTTGCGGGTATGTTTGGAGCAGCCCCCCAGCAACCGCAATAGCAGCCAGGCAGGAACGTTAGCCAAAGGGGGGTCCCATACTAATTAGCCCCGTTCCTCAGGGACGCGGTCCCAAATCTCCCACACGGTTTGACACTGGAGAGAAGGCTCAAGCACAGGATCACATCTAAACGCTTGGAACATCACCAGCATCCGACTGCTGTCAAACTCCGGTGTGTCGGAGTGCTCCCGAGGGTGCTCTGCAGGCAGTGCACACAGCTGGCTCAGAGACAGTCCTACTGCCTCTACGGCTGCTCCAGACAAAGGGCCGAGATATATGCAGTGTTTAAGGAATCCCACCAAAATATTTCCCTAAACATATTTAGATTCAGGAGTGAAAAGAGCTGAGTGACAGCAGCCTGCCTTTTCTAGTTCAGGGGAAAGATATATACAGCTGCTTATTTAAATTATGAATCAATCTATTATCTAGCAGACAAATGAGGAGTATTCAGCACGTTAATTAACTGAGCATATCTGTGACCCAGATGTTTAAAAAGCGGCAGTAAATCACGCTGGGAGTTCGGGCTATCTCTGTTAGAATAATTAAACACTGAAAAATCAAGTTAAAACAATGTCAAAGAGTTTGACTTGAGCTAGTAACAGCAGATACGGTTATGATACTTGAATCCGATTTTGCCTTTCCTTCACTATGTTGGTCGAAGGTGCGCCCGATCCTCCGGCTGGCCTGTGTGCCTGTCCCTCTTCCTTGGGATGGGTGCCTAAAGCACAGTGTTCCCAGCTGCTGGCACAGTTACGCTTTTCACCATGTTGTGTATCGAAGCAAGGCCTTAGCTACTCTACATCTTGCAGAGGTCCAATCGCCAGTGGTATCACCCCCAGCCGAAGATGGATTCAGCTGTGCAAACACAGCGGGGAGCACGTATGGGCGTGCTTCTCGCGACGTGGCCAACCGCGCCGTACAGCTACACTAGCGCAGGGCAGAGCTGACACCTGGCTCCCGGCAAGGGAGCTGCCTCACGTGCGAGGCGAGTGCAACACGAGACTTATTCCATGGCCATCTCTGAGACAGCTGAAAGGCTCAAATCCAGATTATTTGGTTTTTCAGTTGGATGTTTTGATGAGCCAAGCCTTGAGGAAGGCAGTGGTTGCAGACTGTCAGCATGTTTTTAACCACACAACTTATCTCAATTAGTATTTGAGCACCAACAGAGAGGATGAGGCCACTTATCTTAAAGAGGAATAAAATGGAAAAGACAAAAGAAACAAGACTTTTCCTTGAGGGACTAAGGTGAAGAAACCCATCTAGGGGTCCCAAATGGGCAGTGCAAGTTACTCTATCTGGTTTCTGAAATGTTTGTTACCATGTACATAATTAGCATGTTAAAAACTTTCTTTTTTTTATTATGTTTGGCAGCTTGTCTTTAGACAGTTGGCTTGATGCCCACAAGGCAACATGATTTCTGCTCTTACATGTTATCGCCTAATGTGGTGGGAAAAATAAGTAGAGCAAAAATCAAATCTTTCCTGAGGAAAGGAGTGGGGGGATGGGGAGGGAAGAAGGAGATGCAGGGAGATGAAATGAGCTGAAAAGCAAACATGGATATTATGAAAAATGCATTAAGTGCATCTATTAGATGTGTCATCTACTGTGTACAATAGCCAGATAAATAAAGCCCAAGACATGCTTCTGGATCTAGCCTACTGCATAACGCTTGATCTGCTTCTCCGTCAACCAAAACAGAGCTTGCAGTGACAACTGTTCCAGGCTTCCAAGCCTTTTCCTTCTCAGCGCTTCAATGCTGAGAGTGATTATTCCAAAAATGCCCAGGTGACTTACAAGTGCAAGCTCCTAAGTCTTATGACCATGTTGGAAAATACTGTCTTTGATGTCTTAATTGTTTTTTACCATTATTTTCTTCCTTTCTGGAGCAAGTCCACCATGACAGCTGGCAGTTTTAATTACAAGGCAGAAGGCAGGAGGTCAAGCTTTTAGGCAAAAAAGAGTCTTGCAGTGAGGCACTGATCCTGCTACCTTGGTCTTTCTTGAATGATGCAAGGGAAGAAAATGCAGAGCAGAGGTCCACGTTCAAGATAGCCCTGCCTGTAGCTATGGGGAGCATAGGCTAGCACTTTCTACCAGGATTTGCCAAGTAAGATGGGGTTTTGAATTTGCCAGGTAAGAAATGGGAGGGGTATCCGTCATATAACCAGGTACTGGCTTGAACAACATGTTAAAGAGCAGCTCTCGAAGCAGGTCAGAAGAAAGGAACTACGCTCGGCAAGCAAGCGTGAGGCTTACAGAAGGTACAACCTCCTGTGCACAATGGCACAAGAGAGGCACCCTCAGAAGTCCTGGGAGAGCGGCCTAGGAGATCATCATCTTCAGGCTAATTATGGGAGCAGATAAACAATAATTCCTCGATGAGCTCACACTTCCTTGGAGGAAAGGGAGGCTTTCCTTAATACAGCTTATTTGCGCCTGAAATCGTACCAGCTGTACGCCCAGATAAAATCTCCTCAGTTACTGCAACAGCTCAACTCATTGGGTTCACATAACACCGTAGCCTTATTTAGAAATTGAGATGCCATAAAAATACTTTCTAATACTAATAAATTGCACATTCCATTGTTTTTAAAACATTCTGAATGGTGGCAGCAATTCACCCTCTCAAAACTTATCATTTCCAACAGAGTTGCACTCTTAAAACATGGCTGGCACAGCTCCAGACACTGATCAATGTGAAAAGCGATCGGTGAGATTTTATCCTTTGGCTACATATGAAAGTTAAAAGAACAAGGACTAATAGTGAGAGGTTTCTGGCTGATCAATACCAACAGTGCTCATAGGGATATTCAGTATCAATGCAAAATATCCGAGGGATAACTGCACTTCTTGGCTGAAGGGAGTACAAAAAGGGAATGCAACGAGCAGCCAGGTAACTGAGTGCAGCACTGAAAGTCTGGCCGCTTCTCAGGGACACTTTCAGAGGAATAACTGTTTTGCAGGTAGAAAGAAAGGGAATGTTGTATCTACAAGAAACAGCTTCTGGGAAGCCCTGAGCTTTTAGCAGATCTTCAGTCTAGACAGAATTTCAACATCACAGAATCACAGAATGGTTGAGGTTGGAAGGGACCTCTGGAGATCATCTAGTCCAACCCCCCTGCTCCAGCAGGGTCACTTAGAGCACATTACCCAGGATTGCGTCCAGATGGCTTTTGAATATCTCCAGGGAAGGAGACTCCACAACCTCTCTGGGCAACCTGTGCCAGTGCTCAGTCACTCTCACAGTAAAGGAGGCTGAGAGGGCTGGGAGTGTTCAGCCTGGAGAAGAGAAGGCTCAGGGGGTATCTGATCAATATGTACAAGTATCTGAAGGGGAGGTGTTGAGGATGGAGCCAGACTCTTCTCAGTGATGCTCAGCAATAAGACAAGAGGCAACAGGCACAAACTGAGACCCAGGGAGGTCTGTCTGAACACGAGGAAAAACTTCTTTACTGTGAGGGTGACTGCGCACTGTTACAGGTTGCCCAGAGAGGTTGTAGAGTCTCCTTCCTTGGAGATATTCAAAAGCCATCTGGACACAATCCTGGGCAACGTGCTCTAGGTGATCCTCCTTGGGCAGGGGGGTTGAGCTGGATGATCTCCAGAGGTCCCTTCCAACCTCAACCACTTTGTGATTCCGTAACAAACACGTAAGCCCTGCTCTCCTCCCCAGGAATATAACTGATTCACTCCACATCAGCTAAATAAATCTTTCCTTTGCACTGCTTCTCCTTATGCAAAGAGCCCCGACATGAGCTTCTCAACCAAATGTTTTCCTGCTGGACCACATCAGTTTTCTCCTCTCCAACATTTTGTAAGAAGAACAGGAGGGATTGATCTGGATTATCTCATTGCTGAGCATACCAGGCACCCCAAAAATGCCCGCCTACGTCAGCAAGTACCTGAACAAGGTTACCGTCTTGGAGATGTAATAGCTATTTTCTAGTCACTGACAATTTTCTCATGCTGTCATCATGGTGCTTGAAGATAATAAAAGTAAGTTTGCCATTTTTGAAGGAAATGATTATGCTGACAGAGGAGGAAATTTTTCTTAAGTGTAGTCCAGTCGCAGGAAGTAAATGATAGACCATGTCGTACAACCAGTTATAACTAGTGACATTTCATGCAATAAAAGCATGTTTTCTTCCCTTTGTGAAAAGGCTGGTCACCGAAATCTTAATTTCTTTCCTTTCACTGCATAGCAGTGATCTGCTATGCATCTCCTTACCTGTTAAACAAGTTTCCTAGCATCCAGAAAACAGACCAAGGAAGGAAGGAACTGAATGAAGGGTGAAGGATATGAGCAATTCAGCAGAAAATAAACCAAAACAGAGGTACCACCCTGAGGAAATGCCTAAAGTAATTATCAGACCTAACATAGGACAAGACAGAAGTCAGAGTGAGCAAGGTGAAGGACCAGAAAAACTCTCCAAAAATAGTTTTGAAAGTTTTACCGTCCTAACCATTTAAAAAAGGTAAATGTTGATAAGGTCTTAAGCCCCTTAACTGGGGTAAGCAGCCTGTGG